AAGCATTTATGGAGCGCTTACTATGTGTCAGGTCCTGTGCTAAAGGCTGGGGACACAAAGAAGGGCAAAAAACTGTGCCTGCCTTCAAGGAGCTTCCAGTCTGATGGGGGAGGCAACAAGTAAATAACTGTGTACCAATAAGATATAGACAGGATAAGTTGGAGATAATCAACAGAAGAAAGATACTAGCATTAAGGGGGACAGGGACTGTGTATCCCCTTTTTCTCCCCCTTATACTACTCTAGACCCGATTCTCACCAACAGGGAGAAACTATGGTTGAGTTGAGCAGTGCCTGGCACACAGTAGGTGCTGAATAAATGTTGACTGCTGAATGTTATTGTTTGACCTTCGCTCTCGAAGAGGACCATGACATCAGGAAGGTGATGCCATGACTTGCAAGTGAATTGGATTTAAGTGAGGGAGGGCTGTGCAAGGTCACCAGCCTCACTTTTTCCTCTGGAGCCATCTGGGTCCAGATACAGATTGCTGAGGTGGAAATGATGGGGACCTTGAGAAGGAGTGACCACTCCATCCTAGAGTCTGAGAGAGAGGAGAAGAAATCTGGGCAAGGTCTGACACGGTTTGAGGAATACCTCAGAGGGATACCTCCTCTGCCCCACCCCCAACTGTCAATTAGATTTCAAAGGGTTCAGAAGGAAGGACAGGCAGAATCACATGAATGAAAATTCTCCTGGGGAAGTCAGCTGAGGAGAGACGGACAACTTTCCAGAATGAAGTTCTCAGGACACACAAGGAAATGATTCCGATGAAATAAGAGAACTTTATGATCCACAGAGAAGTCGCCTGCCAATTCAGATCTTACAAAATATGGAAGCGATCAAAAGTAAAGAGAGACAAACACACAAGTATGACAGAATCCTAAAAAAAAAAGAAAAAAGAAAAAAGAAAAAAGGGTCAGGACCAAGCTTGAAGCCAGAGAAGAGTTGAGGAAATACATGTAATTCCAAACCTTGCAGAGATGGAATATCCCGTATATTGTCAGATGTGATCAAATTGTCAACTGATTCTGCTGCCTTTATTTCTCTCTTTAAAATCTTGGCCACAAGGGATGGCGCATGGAATAGAGAGAGTGGGAAGGATATGTTCAGAAATAAAGGCGATGTGAAAACAAAAGATGTCAACAGAGATAATATAAAAAACAAACAAAAACTATCCAGAGTGCCTGGAATGATAAAGCTTCAGAATGAAGTGAGGCTGCCAAGGAAGATTAAGGACAACAACCTGGGATTTTTTTTTTTAAAGCAGTGGATGAGACAAGGGATAAGGGCATTGCTGGGGGTGGGGGGGGGAGTGGTTTCATTTTGACTTTTGTTTCTTCTTGCTCTGGAAGGAGAAACATTTTTGGACTAGAAAGACTCCAACCCAGTAATCATTCCAGGAGATGGATGCTGCTGCCTCCCCCCGACTCCCCGGACTTCTTAAATCCCAACTCTCCTAAATTCCTTCCACCCCTAAAAGCCCTGCAGTCAGCAGACAGCCCATCCACCTAAAGGGCAAGGCAGTGAGGGGACCTTGAGACACACTGCTAGGGTCCTCCCCTCCAATATCAGCTCTCATTTACACCATCTAGATCTTCTATGTACGATTTGTACATCGTTGCCTCCCCCATTTGAATGTAAGCTCCGTGAGGACAGGGGTTTTTTTTTGGAGGGGAGGTGGGAATGCTGTGTGTTCCTCAGCACTTAGTGGTGTGCTCAGAACAGAGAATTAACAACTATCATTTGTGAGAACTTCAAGGTTTGCAAAATATTACAGGTATTAATATTTGTAGTAATTTACAAATATTATCTCACTTGATCCTCACAACAACCCTAGGAGATAGATTATTATTATTGCTATATTATTATCCCCTATTTATTATTGCCATTAGTATCTCCATTTTACAATTGAGGAAAATGAGGCAGACAGAGGTTAAGCGACTTGCACAGGGTCACACAGCTAGGATGTATCTGAGGCTGAATTTGAACTCAGGTCTTCCTGACTCCAGGCCCAGAGCTCTATCCACTGTCACCTCATCGTAAGTGAATAACACTGGTTGACTGACTGATCCATTTTAGCTAGCATTTATATAATGTCTAATATGTGCACTAAGCACTTTACAATGACCTCATTTGATCTTTGCAACAACCCTGGGAGGTAGGTGTTGTTATTATCCCCATTTTATATTTGAGGGCACTGAGGCAGACAGAGGTTAAGTGACCTGCCCAGGGTCACACAGCTAGGAAGTACCTGAGGTTGGATTTGAACTCAGGTCTTCCTGACTCCACACCTGGCTCTATCCACTGCATCATCCAGCTGCCTTAGAATTGCTTTTCAAAGGCAAGTATGTTTGGGACCTTCTTGCATGCACTGGACTCAATCCATGCTACCTCTCTTCCCTAGGAGCCTGGACTCTGCCCGAGCCTTGGGGCTCTGAACCCAACCTCAACACCCTTTCCAGGGCACCTATAAACGCTTTGCCTCCTCCTCTCCCCACCTCCTTTCCCCCGTAGGCATGTGTACGTATTTATGGCCTGTCACATAGTAAATATTTAATAAATGCTTTTTCATTCATTCCCCAAGTATAACTCCTTGAGGGCAGAGACTGTGTTGTATCCCCAGCTCTTAACACAGTATCCAGCACCCAGGTCAAAGCCTTAGGATACACAGCACACAAATCCAAACAGCTCTTTCTCAGGTAGCTAGGTGGCACAGTGGTTAGAGTACTAGGCCTGGAGTCGGGAAGCCCCGAGTTCAAATCCAGTCTCAGACACTCAATAGCTGTATGACCCTGAGCAAATCCCTTAACTTCTGTTTGCCCCAGTTTCCCCAACTGTAAAATGGAGAAGTAATGGCAACAATAGAGGATAATATTATATCAATTATTAGGTGATAAGAATATAGTAAAAATAGTAACCTACTTCCCAGGGTTGCTGTGAGGATCAAATGAGGTACATGTAATGCAGTTAGTAGGGTGCTTGGTTTATAGTAGGCACCTCACGTTTGCTCTCTCCTCCTTTCTTAGAAAGGGCTCCCCCACACCCACACTCACGCCTGTTTTGGTAAAACGCCTAGAAAATTGCTTATCTATGAATGTCTTCTTCCTGAATCCCTCTTAGGGTCTCAATCCCATGAGATTTGCCCTATTTTTAATCTTCAATCTCTCATCTACTATTTCACACCTTGCTGCCTGCAAACTTTTCCAGTTTTCCCTCATTCTTTAAAAAACCTCCCAGAAGAAACTGTCTACACCTGTTGCCTCTACTACCTCTTCACAACCTAGCCCCCTCCTTCCACTCCAGACACACCTTACCCCCCAAGGTGTTGACCCGGTGGCACCAAGTCGAACAAGACACAAGCCAGCCCCTCCACCTCTGAGCTCTGGGCATTCTCTCTGGTTGACCCCCATACTGGGGACACTCACCCTCCTCCACTCTGCCTACTGACCTTCCTGGCTTCCTTTAAGTCCCAACTAAAATCTCACCTCCTACAAGAAGCCTTCCCTGACCCCTCTTAATTCTAGTGCCCTCCCTCTATTAATTCCTATTTATCCTGTATATGGTTATGCTGTTCTCCTTCATTAGACTGTAAGTTCCTTGAAGATTACACCTTTTGCCTTTTTTGTATCCCCAGTGCTTAGCACAGTGCCTGACACACAGTAGGTGCTTAATTGAATTGAGAATTGAATTCTCACTTCTCAGCCTTTTACAATCTGGCATTTGATTTCATCACTAAACTGGAACTATTACCAACCAATCCCTTAACTGCTGGATCTAATGGCTTCATCTCAGCCCTCATCCTCAACAGGGACAGCAAGGAGGCCAAGCTGGCAAGAAGGGTCTCTGAAGGTAAAAACAGAAAAGTAAGAGTCAGATTGTAGAAGGCTTTAAATGCCAGGCTACAGATTATCTTTTTATCCCAGAGGCAACAGGGAGACAGGAGAGCTTCAAGAGTGGAGGAGTGAAATGGTCAGACTTCAGAGGACTCCTATGGTCCATTCCAGCTATTAATTCATCTATCTTAAATGAATGAACAAGCGAATGACTGAAAGAAAAGCACCCATTAAGCAATAAGAGGTCAGCAGCTAAGTGGGCCAGTGGAAAGAGTAGCAAACCTGGTGTCACGAAAACCTGAGTTCAAATCCTGCCTCAGACACTTACTAGCTGTGTGACTCTGGGCAAGTCAATTTGCTTCTGCCTGCCTCATCTGTAAAAATGAGGACAATAAAAGCACCTACCTCGAGGGCTGTTGTGAAGATCAAATAGGACAATATTTGTACAGCACTCAGCTCAGTGTTGAGCAGAGGCACCACATAAATATTAGCTAGTACTAGTACTAAATGTTACGCCAAGCCCAGTCAAAGAGCTTACATTCTAGGGAGGGGAGAAAACACCCGGGGAGGAAATGGCAGCCAGGGAGTCGTGGCCTGGACTGAAGCCCCACAAGAGGTGAGCAGAGGCACAGGGCGATCAGTGACATGTCCTTTCCAGAAATAACAGCAGAATCGATTGCTGTCCTCAGAGCCAGGGCAGGGGAATGGGCTGTGCCCGGGCATTTGTGCAGGCTAAGAGCCTGGCCCCAGGGGCGTCAAGGCTGGATGGACTAAATCACCCAGGGCCCCGTCTCAGGATGTCTGTAGCTCCAGAGGGAGCAGCATCAGAGCACATGGGGGAGGAGACTGCACGTGCACCACCCCAGGAAAATATCAACTCTTGTCAGCTGGGACTGGTTTTTGGTTGTCTTTGGGTCTGGCACGTCTGGCATGCTGAGGCTTAATAAGTGTGTGTTGAATTTAAAGAATCTGAAAACGGATGCCCGGAAGCAGTCGGAAACGCTGGGAGTGACAGGGGCGGCCTTGTATTTCAGGAAGATTAGCTTGGCAGCCGTGTGCACGGCAGATCGCTGAGAGGAGAAACTAGAAGCTGAGAGTCTCAGAGGAGGACGCCGCAAGAGTTCAGGCCGGGACGGGGGGGGGGGGGGAAGGCTGGGGCATTGGCCTCACTTCTCACCAGTGGTCACTTGAGCTTGGGACCTCCTAACCAGGGATCCCTGAGAACTACCCATTAGAAATTACATGTTTCCTTTATAATTGTTTTTTATTTGATGCCTTCAAAAGCGTTATTCTGGGAAGGGGCCCACAGGCTTCCTCAGACTGCCCAAGGGGTCCAGGACTCCCAAATGCTTGAACCCCAGGAGTCCTGCTTTAGCACAACGCAAACCCGGTTTTGATACACTTATTCCTGTTAACTTCTCATTCTAATGACAAGGACCTATAGGACACACGTGGGGTTGACTTCTTCCCCTCTGTCATGCCAGGGTTTGGGAGTGACCCAGATGGGAAATCCCAGTCCTGCAGTCTTCACCTCCCAAATGCAGGAGCCGCCAGACAAGGAGGAAACCCCCCCCGAGCTTTTTCGGGGTCATTACTCAGCCCAGGATGGAATAACATGAGACCAAAAGAGTGACCTCTAGTCCAGGGATGGGGAGCCTGTGGTCTTCAAGGCCTTTTGACTGAATCCAAATATACAGAACAAACATTCAGTCAAAAGGCCGCACTTAAGGGCCCTGAAGGCCACAGGTTCCCTGCCCCTCTAGTCACAACTGAGGGCCAATCTGGGACAGGGGACATGTTTTGTTGTCTGAGGCAGTGACTGGAACCAGGGAAATCCACACAGTCCTCTCATTCAAATGCCCCAGCCAGGTGGTTGAGCTGTGGCTGAACTCGTCGGGAGGGGGTGTGGGAGAAGACAGACACACATCTGGCTGGACGGCCGCCAGGGTCACACAGGTGACAATGAGCCTCCTGACAGAGGGGCCCAAAAACCCTGAGTGGGACCCAGTACAAAGGTCCTCTAACGGAAAACCAAAGTGCACAATGTGGAAAGTACCCTGAGGCGCTAGAGGTCACGACAGACAGACTGAGCCCCTCTACTCGCACGGCGGTTCTCCCCCTCAGCCTGACGCTGAGGCTCCTCCCCGGCGGCCCAGCCATACCTTGGCGCCAGGCTGAGGCTGTGGCGACAGAGGGCAGGAAGCTGAGTCACTTGAGGGTCAGGGTTTTCTGAAGTCTGTGGTTTCATCTGCTCCCAGAGCCTCCTAGAATAACTGTTGCAAGGTCATTTCAAGGCAGGCAGATTTCATCCCTGCTGACTCAGAGCCCAGGCAAACGTGGGCCCCTCTGCCCACACGCATGGTCTCCCCTCCCCCCTTCGTGGGCACGGCATCAGTTGCTCTTTGTGGATTTGGAAATCAAATCACTGAGAATACCAGCAAAGCCCATAGGCAAATCACAGGCCACTTGAAGAAAGATCAAAGTGTCACCTCGGAGGAACAGGATGCACTTTTTCCAGCACTCCTCACCCATGAGCTTATGGGACAGGAATGGCAAAGGTGTCCTCCCCCTCGTCCTCAGAGACACAGCTCCTATGGGAAGCCTTTCCTGCTCTCTGCCCTCCCTCCCTAAGCACCCTGTACTAAACCACCTTGTAGCTATTCACTTCGTGTTTATTCTGAACATCCGTACATATGGTGATGGTGTCCGCCCCGCAGAATGCGAGGTCTTTGAATCCCCGGGGCCTAGCAGTGTGCCTGGCTGGCCCATGGCTGACGTAGAGTGGATTCTTGTTGATTGAATGACCTGATGCTCATTTTCTGGATGAAGTCAAGATAGCAAAGAGAGGTCAAGGTTTGCTCCACAGTAACACAGCAAATAGATGGGGGAGAATCTCTTAATGGGAAGCCGTCAGGACAGCAGCACCGAGCACTGGCCTTTCCAAAGTGTTGTCCACATGTCCCTCCTGTGAGGTAAGTGAGGTAGGTCCTGTGCCCACTCAAGCCTCCACCTTCCCAGGCCATCCGTGCACACCAGCCAGAGGGGAAAGAGGAGCGAGTTATGGTTATCTCAGCGGCTGCTTGAGGTCAAACAGGCCCGTTCCTCCCTTGACAACCTTCCCGACCACCAGGCAGGCTGAAGGGGATCTCAGCTCATCGTACGCACCTGGCACAAACAAGAGAGTCACTGGTTATTCCTGAGGACAGGACCTGCAGGGCAGAGGCCATCTAAGCCATGATCCCACTAGGTTTCCTGCCTAGCCCCCAACCCAAACAAAGACCCGGATCTCTCAGTGTCCTTTTGAAACTCCCATCTACTCTGGGCAGCAATGGAGCAGGCCAGCTCTCCTGGACACTAGGGGATGGAGGATGGGGCCCGGCTGGACACCAGCCTAGATGTCAGGAGGAGGCCTGGCCGAGGGAAACATGGCCCGGGAGATGACACTGACTCCACTCATGAGGGATACTGTGTAGGTGAGGCCCCCCCGCAACGGAAGACCCCGTGGCAAGAGTCCGCTGGGATTTTTAGGAATGGCCAAAAAACGACTAGGATGTTTGGCTATTAGCCTTGAGATGTTCCCTTGTCCTCTGCCAGGTCTACCCATCAAGGGCTTGATGCCAACATTTTCTCTTGACACAGGAGAGGCCATTTTCCCTGGGCTGTGGTGACGGTCAAGAAGTCGCAGGCACAACTGGACCTAACAACAGTAGCTGCTGCTGATGTTTCACAGAAGGCTTCAATTGGCAAAGTAGCTTACATATCAAGATGGGGAAACTGAGGCTGGGAGACCCTAAAGGATTTGTCCCCGGTCCACTCCAGGACTACGGGCTAGCACTGCTGGAGGGTGAAGAGTTGAGATACATCATCTTCTCTGACCTTCACAACAACGCTGGGAGAAAGGCGCGACTTTTATCTCAATATTAAAGATGAGAAAACTGGGACAGACAGGTTAAATGACTTGCCCAGGGTGACACAGCTAAGCTATATCTGAGGACAGATTTGAACTCAGCTCTTCCTGAGCCCAGGCCCAGTGCTCTATCCTCAGACGGAGATCCCGAGCCCTGCTCTGCTGGAACTCAGGTCCAGCACTCTACATAAGAGGCCAAGCTGCCTGAAGCCGGAAGGGACCGGAGAGGTCGTTCTGGTCCAACCGCTCCAGTTTCCAGAGGAGGAAAATGAGATGCTGAGCCGTGAGGTGGCTGGGCTGCCTGCGGCATAGGAGGATGGCCGGAGCCACTGGGCAGCTGGTGCCCTTTATCCCCCTGGTCCCAGGAAGGACTGACTGACACAGTCACAAGCATAGTCACGTCCCTCACCAACTCTGATCAGCCTCCATGTGTGTGCACCCTCGAGGGACCCTCGGGTTTGTTGCCGCCTGTCTGAGCCCTCCAGACAATAAAAGGGGGCCACGAGGGCAGGCACAGGCCCCGCGCACCACCCCGTCTCCTGGGGCCCAGAACAGAAAGCCGGCTCGGCCGTCTCCTTCCCATCAGCCCCTCTGTGAACCCCATGTTTTAGCACACGGGCTCTTAGACACTTGCTCCTTCCCCTCCTTATGCCCACCTTCCTCTGAATCTCAGCTCAGACACCACCTTCTAAAGGATGCCTTGCCTGGTCCCTCCCAAGTGAGCACCTTCCCTCTCCCCTGGATCTAGCTTGTCCCTCATTCAACCGTGAGCTCACTGAGGGCAGGAAACACGCTATCTGTGCCCCCAGCACTTGGCATGGTGCCTGGCCCAGAGAAAGCATTTACAAAAGGCCTGTGACTGACCAACAGAGCCGAGAAGTGGGTGGATGATGGTGGGCGCTCATCTCCCTCTGTCCCCTCTGGTGAGATGGTGAGGACTGTGCATTAGCAGCCTGAGGGAAGGTGCGGACAGACAGGGCTGACGTTCAGAGAGGGGCTCCCTGAAGCAGCCTCTTGGCCCCAGTACCTGAGCAGAGAATTCCAGCCAGGGCCCAGGCTCCCACTGGGCCAGCTGCTCCCTCGGGTGAGCTGGGATTGCTTCATTTCTCCATGTTTCACAAAGGTGAATGTGGCCAGATTTTCCTCAGATATTTCCATTTCTGCTGCCTTCCCACCCTGGCTGCCCAAAGCCAAACCTAACTCATTTCATTCACGACACAGCTGGAGTGCAGCCCAGGGGGTAGTTAGGCCTGCAGGTCAGGAGCCGTCCCCACACAAAGGGCAGGTGAAGCCAGTGAACCCAGAGCCCCACCCAGCCACTGACCCATCATGGTCGCCTCCTTCAGGAACTTGAAGCTGGTCTCAAATGTCATCTGCTGCAGAGGAGAGGAGTTGGACTGAATCCCAAACCGGTTCAGAGGTTTGTAAACGCCCTCAAAGCACATGTAATCGGCCACCAGGGAGAGGTGCCGGGGGTCCACGGCGATGCCTGTGGGGAACAAAGAAAACAGGGAAGGATTATCACAGGGACTGGAGGAAGGCAGGAAGAGGCTTAGCGGGACCCCCGACCTGCGGCAAGCAGGATGACCGCACCCACGCTTCTTTCACTAATTCTCTGGTCCCTCTCCCCTACAGCGCCATTAAGGACTGCAGTCACACTAGGCAAGATGTCCTGGCCGCTCTCAGGTTCACAGCGCTCTGGTGGCTGGCTCTCCACGGCCTGTAGGGTGAAATAGGAACTCTCCAGAATGCTGTTTAATGGCCCGCATCATCGACCTTCTCAGCCTGCTCTCACACGACTCTCTCTGTCTCTCACACATTCCATCTCCCCACTCAGTTCTACAACTCAGCCTCCGTATCTCCTGAAGCAAGCCCCAATCCTCTGCCTTGGTAACGTCCTCTCCCTCCTCAAAGTAAGCTGTTGTTGTCTACACCCACACCGCATCCTGGCAGGAGAACTTCAATCCTCGAGGGCGGGGATGGCTTCATTTTGTTTGCATATCTGACACAGCCATTTTCGTTGGACTGAATAAAGAAATCCTATCTCCTGGATGCTTCAGCTACAAATGGAGCCACAGGCACAGAGAAGCTGCAGCTCGGAAGGATGGCGGGACTGGAGATGCCACCTTCACCACATTCCCAGAAGCACCATCTCGTGGTGCCTGTGGTCACCTGGCCCTGGCGGGGCCCACGCAACAGTTGGACAAGAGAACAGCAGGTTCTGGGCCAGTCTCAGTCACCAAGGGAGGCGGGACAAAGAGGGAAATCCCAGGCCTCTGTCCTTGATGCCTGGCGTCAGAGAAAAAGCGGGTCCAGAGCCTCTGACTCTCAGAGCCATAAGGGACCCAACAAGACTCCTAGGGACAACCCCCCCCAGCCTTGACCTCCACGTCTCTACCGAGGAAGCAGCTTGACCCCGAGTGGCTGATTCCACTGGGGGACAGCTCCAGGGCCCTTACTAAAGACTAAATGAACAGGCGTGCAACATCTCCCTCATTCCGTCTGCTCCCCTGGGCCAAGCAAAGCAAATCGAATCTCTCCTGATTCAAGAAAGGATGGTAAAAACGGTGATGGAAAATACAGCATAGGATGAAAAAGGTCATAAACCCATTTTAAAAAAAAACTCAATAGGCCATAAATGAGCTCCCTAAGAAAAAAGCATCCGGACCAAATGAACTCACAAGTGAATTCTACCAAACATTCAAAGATCAACTAGATCCAATATTAAATAAATTATCTGAAATAATAGGCGAAGGAGGAGCCCTACCAAACTCCTTTTATGAAACAAGGATGGTGTTGATACCTAAACCAGAAAGCCCAAAAACAGAAAAGAAAATTTTAGACCAATTTCGCTAAAGAATATTGATGCAAAAATCCTAAATAAAATACTAGCTAGGAGACTACAGCAATTTATCACAAAGATTATACATTGTGACCAAGTGGGATTTATGTCAGGAATGCAGGGCTGGTTTAATATTAGGAAAATTAGGAACATAATTACCAAGATAAGGTCAAAATGGACACACGGCCCGGACATCAAAGGAGAGACATCACAAGTGAATTGGAAGAACATAGAACATATTACCTATCAGATTTATGGAGAAGAGTTTATGAATAAACAAGAGATAAACAAGTATTGCGGGATGTAAAATGGATAAAAATTTAAAAGCTCTTGTACAAAGAAAATCAATTTAGCCAAGGTTAGAAGGAAAACAGAAAAACTGCGGAATCATTTTTATAGCTAGTTATTTGGATAAAGACCTCATATCTCAAATATATAGAGAATTGAGTCAAATTTCTAAGAATGAGTCATTCCCCAATTGATAAATGGTCAAAAAACAGGAACAGGCAGTGATTGGAAGACAAAATCAAAGCTAGAGCCATAGGGAAAAAATGCTCCAAAGCATAGATGATCAGAGAAATGCAAATTAAAACAACTCTGAAGTACCATATCATACCTCAGATTGGCTAAAATGATAGAAGAGGACAATGACAAGTGCTGGAGGAGATGTGGGGAAATCAGGATACTAATACAACTGATTCAACCATTTTGGAGACCAATTTAGAATTATGACCAAAGAGATGAAACTGTGAATAATCTGAGCCAGCAATGCCATTATTAGGTCTGTTTCCCAAAGGTGACCAGGAAAAACGAAAAAGAATGTATATGCTCCAAAATATTTATAGCAATTCTCTTTGTGGTGGCAAAGAACTAGAATTCGAGGGGATGCCCATCAATCGGGGAATGGCTGAATAAGTTGTGGTATATGATTGTGATGAACACTACTGTGCTGTAAGAAATGATGAACAGATTGATGTTAGAAAAACATGGAAAGACTTGCATGAAGTAATGGAGAGTGAAATGAGCAGAACCGAGAGAATGTTGTATGCAGTAATAACAGCACTACTGTTCAAAGTGTAACTGTGGTTCATTAAGCTAGTCTGAATAATATGAATAATCAAATCAACTATGAAGGACCTACAAAGGAAGATGCTATCTCCTTCCAGAGAAAGAACTGATACATGGAATTATGCACTATATGGTTCCACATTTATATCTATATCTGTATCAAATGCTGCCCTTCTCTAATGAGAGGCTAGGAGGGAGGGAGGGAGATAACTCAGAACTCGAAATGCAACTAAACAAATAAATAAATAACCAAAAAACAATGTCCCAGAATGTCCCGCTCAAAGGCCAAATGCAAGAGGACTGCTCGACGCAGTGGATACAGCACCGGCCCTGAAGTCAGGAGGACCTGAGTTCAAGTCCGGACTCAGCCCAAACACTTGACATTTACTAGCTGTGTGACCCTGGGCAAGTCACTTAACCCCAACTGCCTAAAAAAAAAAAAAGAAAACTACATGCTGGAGGAGCACAGTGTGAGAGGTTATGTCCTGAGGGAGGGAGCGCCTATGATGACACCACGGAGTCATGGCTGTACTGCTTTCACTCAGGGAGAGTCCCTGAAAGCCAGGGATGGGGCCAGCCTTTCAAAAAGACCCATCCTCAGTGAGACAGCCTCGGCACAATTCAGGGAAGCCGGGCTTATCCACGCCTCTGACACTGCTGCTCCCCCAAGTGCACTTTCACACCTCCAAAGTGACTGATTTCCTTTACTGAGCCAGACAGAGAGCTCTCCCACACCTTCTTTCCTGCCTCAAAGGCCCCTCAGCACGTTTCTAAAGCAGCAGAAACCCCAGATCTTGCCAGGAAAGCATCTTACCATACACAGCAAACACGTCTTTGATCTCCTTCTCAATCACCCGCAGGGCGGCCTCGATGCCATATGTATTAGCCATGGCGTGGATATCATTGGAATAGAGGCGGCTGAGGTCCAAGACCTACCAACAGGAAGGAAATTATCTGTTCAGAGTGACCAGCCCCAACCTCTCCACCATGGAGACTCTCCCCCTCTGACTCTGTGTCACTATGTCAGGAAGCATGCCAGAGCCAGAGGGACAATGACTGGAAGACACACACAGACACAGACACAGACACAGACACAGACACAGACACAGACACAGACACACACACACACACACACACACACACACACACACACACACTCACTGCTGACTGCAAGCTAGCCAAGGCCCCAGAACGAGGCTCATTTCCATTACAAGAATAGCAAAATGACTCAATACAAAGGAGGCTGGGTTTGCGCTTTTTTTTTTTTTAAACACATAAGAGTGATTAGTCTGAAGTTTCCCTTGAGAAGCAAGCCAAGTTTGGCGGTGGAGGCATTTCTGGCTCCCCTGGCCTCCCCGCCAGGCCCGCATGCCCCGGAATCTCTCAGACACCGACCCTACAGAGGACCTCGATTCCAGGGTCATTTCTAGTCTGGTTTAAGAGCGGCCCTAGCTGGTTCTGGCTGCTTGTTCGAGTGGGGCCTGGGCAGAGCATGTGCTGTGACCCTCGGTTTGGCTTGGAAGAAGCCTGGTGGCTGCTTAACTTACACAACCTGAGGGACATGAAACACCCCATGCTGGGGGAGGCCCCCCAGAGGTCTCCCATCACCCCTCCTGGCCTGAGAAGCTTTTAAAAGAAGGGAGTTTTAGTGCGAGGCTGCAGGTGGGCTGGGGGAGTCTGCTAGGAGCCCTCGGGCCTGAGGAGAAACTGAGGCAGCAGCGTCAGATGGTGGAATTAAAAAGGAACTGTCCTGGAAGCAAGGGCTGGCCTGCGAGGAGAGGTGACTGGGGCTGGGTGGGGGCAGGACGAGGGCCAGAGCACTACGTACATCTGCATATTTGAACAGCTCCGGCAGGTTGATGCCCTCTGTGTTCAGGACAAGCTCCTTCTCCTGCTTTTTGTTGGTGGTGTCATTGAGGAGGCAGCGAGTGATTCCCTTGGTCTCATAGACGACGGCACTGTGGGCCAAGGAGACCACCAGCGAGCACAGGTCAAAGTGCACCTTCATCAGCGGCAGCTTCAGTGTCACCTGGAGAGAAGGCGGGCCCAGGCACGGTGAGGCCTTGTGTTCAAACACGGCCTCCCTGCTGCCCAGGAAGCACAGACACTGCAGCCTGGGTCAGGGTTGAGGGGACTCGAAGGTGGGCATGTCTGTGTGTCTGTCTGTCCGAGGCATAAACAAGGCTCCGGGTGAGCCAAAGGCCTGCCCTCAGCCCTGACTGGTCCAGGGGAGCAGGTGCGCGCTCGCTTTTCCTTCTGGTTCCAGGGTTTGGGAAGCACGGGAGAGGGGAAGCAAGTGGTGCACTGGCAGGGGCGGGGGGACGCCAAATTTCTGAGGGCATAAATGGAAGGTGTGAAAGGGAGAGGCCTAATGACCCTAATGACCCAAGCGCAGGAAGCCTCTTCTTGGGCACTCTCAACAGAGCAGCCACGTGGTCAGTCCCTCCCTGCTCGCTGTCCCGTGGCCTTGCCCTCCAGGTCCCCCCTCCAGCCCCCACTGCCCCACCCTCCCTCCCAAGTGTCCCGCTTCCTACCTCCCCAATCAGCTCAAAGGCCTCTCTCAAAGCGTCCCCAAGGCCCCTTCATCGCTGAAGGCCGTGGCCTTTCTGGGCCCTCTGGAGCAGCCCACACTACCGGTCATCCCTCACCCTGGACACCCTGGCCATCTCTCTGCACAGTCTCCCCTCTTATCATGCCCCCAGGTGATTACACATCAGTCCTCGCCTCTCTCTCCTCAAACCATCCAATACAAGCATTTCTAACTGAACAGCAGAGGCCCTGGGTTTGAATCCCATCTCTGAAGCTGACTCCCTGTGTTATCCTGGACCAATCGCTTCCTGCTAGGTCTCACTAAATGAGTGGTTTGGTCTAGATGGCCTCCAAGAGCCCACGGTGCTCTCATGCGTGGTCTAACACTGAGCTTGGCCTGGGGTCTTTTTTCTCGCCTCCCACAACCAGGTGAGCTCCCCCAGCCCTCCTACCTCACACCACAGGCCCTCCTCCACATCAAACGTGTAATCCTGGATGGACGAGTGGATGTTCCGTACGGCCTGGACCCTCAGCTCCGCTTCTGGCCCGGAGGGCCCGTGCCTGTGTGCCCGCTTCTTGCTGGGCGCCAGTGAGGAAGGCTCTGGCTGCTCAGCGTCTGGGCCCTGGCTGCCCTCCTCGTGTGGGGGTGCTGACCCAGGGCCCCCCTCCTCCTCTAGCTCATTCGCCTCCTCATTCTCTTCTTCCTGCTCCTCTTCCTCACTCTCATAATCCACCTGGATAAGAACAGAGGCCGGAACGGCAAATTAGCAAGCTGGGAGCCTGGAGAGGGAGCTGAGGAAGGGGTCTGTGCCCGAGAGCCCCCACGCCTCAGGCCAGCGAACTCTGCAGCTCCTGCCACTCCCGGCATTTCTGTGCCTTCAGGGAGGCTCCCCCATCTACCCCGCACCGAGTCTGAAGCACCGTCACCCACAACCCCCCCCCGGACGAAGGCCACCCCAGGGATCTCTCCTTCTCCTTCGATTCCTCAGGCACTCATCAGTGTCTTTTGGACACTTCACATTTTGGTTCTGGTCAGTGACCTCGGGCACCTCCTAGCTCTGTGGCCTCTGAAGCTGTCTCCTCACCCACCTCCGGGGGGGCTATGAGGAGCACTTGGCAGGCTGTTATGGTTATTTTTATTATCGTTTTGACCTCTACTTCTAACCTAAGCTCCACCTGGCAGCTCTGCAGGTAAGCTGAGCCACGATGGCCATGAAGTTCCCCAACGCCCTCCAAGGTGACCCATCCTGGCTTCATGCGGCCTGGGGGGACCCTGACCTCTGGCCCCTCCCAGCAGGGGGCACCTGTGCTGACAGCCCCCACCTGGGCAATGAAAGGCCCCTGGGCCCCGACCACGCCCCTTCCTCTCACACTCCGGCAGCCCTCTCATGCTCTGGACAAATCACAGGCGAGAGGAGAAGAGACCCAGGGGCGGCAGGCCACTGGTTCGCATCCGGATCCACCTTGACTGGCCGTTAGTGTAATGGGATCACAAGGTCCCAGACTGGGGGCTGGAAGGGATTCAGAGGCTGGGGGGGACGGGCAGACGGCTCTGCATTCATACTTCCAGTGTGACCTCGCACGAGTCAGGCCAACAAGCATTTATTAAGCACCCACTGTCTACGTGCCAGGCACCAGGCTAAGCACCAGGATTTGGGAGAAAGGAAAGCACAGCCCCTGCCCTGAGGGAGCTCACGGTCTGATGGGGCGGAGGTCAGGGAAGCCAGGAAGTGTCCCAGGCCTGGACCCTGGATGGCGAAGGGCGCGGGTGAGGCGGGACTGGCGAGGGAGGAGGGGGCGAGGCCCCGAAGGGCTCTGAGGGCTCCCCGGCGTTTACCGATCAGGGCTGATACGGTCAGCTGGTGTGACGGCCGAGGGAGGACGAGCCACTGCCCTCGCTGGCCTCTGTCTGTTCTGCAGCTGTGAAATGAGGCCCGTTTCCTACTAAAAGCCCAGCAGCTTATCCAATTCTGACTGCCTCATCTTCAAGGACGGGAAAGCAGAGGCCCAGAGACACCGAGAGCTTCTCCCAAGGCCACACAGGCAGCTAGCAGGAGGGCCGAGAGTCAAGCCTAGCCAGAGCTGCTGGGGGGAGGGTCTCCTCATGCCCCCGGGACCCCTCACCTCCTCCTCCTGCTTCTTTTTCCACTTCTTGTCTGTAGCATCAGCGTCTCCTTCTTCGGCGTCGCCATCGACGATCTGCTCCTCCCCTTCGTTGTCACCCTCCCGATCCTCCTGCAGTGGGTACACGGACGCTTTCAGCCCGGCGCTGCCCCAAGGAGGGGCTCCACCTTCAGCGCGGGCCCCTCTCTTCCTTCCCCTGCCCACACACCAAACACATGTCCCCTCACACGGACACACGGTTCCCTTATGAAAAGTGAGGTCAAGCAGCCTCCAGAAGGCAATGCCCCTCCCCAACAAAGCGTGGGAGATGACACAGGGAGGAAAAAACCACCTGCTCCAATAAAGATTCTGTCTCCAGAACAGCCCTATGCTGTTCCTTTCCCCACATCGCCCCCCTCCCCCTACCCCATCCTGGGGATGAAGGCGTGTCCTGTTCTACAAGGCCCAGCCCCTCTCCTGCTCCCTACACACCGATGCCCCTTCCAAGCAGGCACAACGCCACCAACCCAACCCCACGCGTGACTATGAAGAATGACAAAGCCAGGCCTCCCTTGTCCTTCTTCTCAGTCCCCACCCTACATCTTCTCTCCTCCCCTCCTGTGGCTCAGACACCCTTTCCAGCTAACCTGGCCTCCTCGCTGCTCCCCACATCCCACATCTCGTCCCCTGGGTCTTCACCCCTAAAAGGCCCTTCCAGCCTCCTTCTCTGCCTCTACTGGAGTCGTTCAAGGCTCAGCTTGTCTCCTTGGCTGACCCTCCTGTCCTGTGTGTTCTCTGACCACCCCCCAAACGTCTCTGCGTCTGTCTTTGCGGACTCTGCTGATCTGCAGTAGTATGGAAGGTCCTCGAGGGTGGGGACCATCCCTGTACCCCAGTGATTAGCACAGCACCTGACGTACAGGAGGCCCTGTGCTAAGCACCTAAAGAACAGGACTGAATCCCCCTCCTCTCCCTTCTTTCCCACCCTGACTGTGGGCAGCTGGGATTCCAGCCGGTCAGAATCCAGAGGCAGGGCTCAGGGCAGGCCCCTGCTCACGGGCTCAGACAGGGAGGGGGACACTGAAGGGCTCTCCGAGTCGGCTTTTCCCAAGCTCTGCCTCAGATGGGGGCGGGGGGCTCCTTGGGGCTGCGCACCCCAGGTGAAGGCAGCTCCTCGTTCTGGCTGAAGGAGATTCCCACCATACCCTCCCACTGGATGTTTCCCCCAGGACCTAACCACAGCCTCCTGCCTTGACGCGAGCCTCGAGAGGGCTCTCCGCCCACCCTGGTCCTCAGAGGGGCTCGTCCACTCACCCGATTTCCCGGCATCTCCCCACCGCCATCCAGGTCCTGCTGAGTCGCCCTCCGGGTGCTCACAGCTTTGAAGGCTGACGTCTTGCTGCTCTTCCTTTTGATGGCCTCCAGCAGGAGCTTAATGAACCTGGGTAGGAGAGGAAGCGAGTGGCCACCATCAGCACAGGCCCCTGATCTTAGAGGGATGAGTCATTCTGCCCAAGAAGCCCCCACCCCTTCACGAATTCACAGCTTCTGTGGCCGGCCATGACCTGGAGCCTAGAGGCAAGGCTCCAACAGCTGACATCCAAGTTAGGCCGCCATCACAGATTGCGGAGAGGCCCTCGTTAGGTGGAGCGGAGCCAGCCATCAGCAAGCTGCCCCTACGAGCGCTTGTTCTGCACTGTGCAGTAAGGGCCGGCATGGTGAAGAGGCCTACGCTGAGGGCGGGCCCTGAGTGCCAAGCCACCCTCAGGCCCTCCTGGCTCCTCGTCTGTGCCACCCTCTGCTCAGGTGGTCCCCAGGGCTTCTCTGTTAGCATTGAAATGTCCTGTTCAGCTCTTCTTTTCCAAACCTATTCCTTTTCTCTGCTCCAGTCTAACTGGCTTCCTTGTTATTCCTCATCCACCATCTCCAAACCTTTGCACAGGCTGTGCCCCCAAGCCTGGAATATGCTCCCTCCCAACCTAATCCCCTTCCCTTCAAGAAATCCCTAATTTCCTCCAAAGCTCAGCTCAAGGGTCACTTCCCAAGTGAGGCCTTTCCATCCTCTCCCAGACGCCAACTGTCATTCAGTAATGTGCAACTCTTCATGACCCCATGGACCACAGCACAACAATCCTGTCCATGGGGCTTTCTTGGCAAAGATACTGGAATCGTTTGCCATTTCCTTCTCCACTGAACTGAGACAAAACAGCATTCAGTGACTTGCCCAGGGTCACACAGCTAGCAAGAATATGAGGCAATATTTGAACTCAGGTCTTCCTGATGCCACGCCCGGCACTCTATCCACTGCACCACCCAGCTGAGTGATCCACAATTAGAGTAACCATTTCTGTGAGAGGCAGGGAAGCACGGACAGGGTGCTGGACATTCAGGAGTTGTCACGGGGCAAGCAGGTCACTTGGAGAAGGAGAAAGGAAGTGAACAAGCATGTACACAGTGCTGCCAGAGGCTTTTGCCTTATATAAATGACCTCACCGGATCCTCACGATAACCCGGAGAGGTGGGCGCTCAGCCTTAGCCTCTCTGACCCTCTCGTGGTCCCTGTCATTTCAGCAGTCCAAGGAACCCCCTCCCACAGGGCAGGTGGGCCTCGTTCTAGTCTTAGAAGTTGCCTGGAGCACTGAGATGACCCACTGGGAATCTCCCAGGCCACCCTGGCCTCAAGGCCAGGTGTCTGTCCACAGCCCACGCTGCCCCTCATAAAACACACAAATGTTCAGCTGTCTTTATGATACATTTGCAAAAAAGGAATTAAAGATCCTCTCCCTAGAGATAAAGGCTTATTAAGTTTCCCCCTGGCTTTGGGCATTGAGACAATTATTTCAAGGATGAATAAGTGTTGGAAAGCGAGAAGAAGTGAAGTTCTACTGAGCTAACTGGAGGCTTGCTGGGGGCGGCCTTGGAGGTACAGTGCTTTGCTGACAGCATCAGACACATCCCTCAACCGGCTGGCAGGTCAAGGGACTGTTCTTGAATCTGCAAGTTTCTCCATTATTAATCACTGCTCTGGTTTTTTTTTATAGTCACTAAGCTATATCAATAACTTTAGAGAAGCTTTTCAGGTTTTTAAAAAGAAAGTCGATCTCTAAAGAGTTAAGTGCTTTAAAAAGATCATAAAAAGTCAGAGTCAAAATGGTGTGCTTATTTCAAATCACAGCAAGGGAAAACATTATGACAGGACAAGCCCAATCACTTTGATCCTACAAGAATAAAAAACCTTTGGCATGATGAAAGATAAGATAAAAACGAGAGAAAAAGAGAAGCAAGAGGCAGAAGAAAGCAAGCGTTCATCATGAACAAACACATTTGAAAAAACGTTCAACCTCATGACCAGAGAAATGTAAATTACTCTCCGGACAATCTCTCCTCCACCACCACCATCCGTCCCACGGCCGCCACTGCCGCTGCCTCCAAACGGCGAGGTTGCCCCCACACCCTCCATCTGAGGAGGTACCAAACATCTGGGCCAGCCACAGCCACTTCTAGTCTCGCTTAACCTCTGACCCTCTGGACAACCTTCCTACTCTCTGCTCCCCCTTTGCCTCTTTCATCTCCCTCTTATCGTTTTATCTTCTGTCTTTTCCCATTAGAAGAGAAGCTCCTTGAGGGCAGGGCCTGTCCCTCAAACAGCTATTTGTACTCCTGGGACTTTGTTTAACACAGCGTCTGATGCTGTATGGTCTACCTGGGGCCATCCAAACTGGAAAGTGGTCCAGTAACAGGAATCACCAGATCAGTCCCAGTCTTTAGTCCCAGATCTCAGTATGGAGAACACAGCCAAAAGAGTCACACAAAGGTGCTCCTTCGCAGCCCTGACGCAGTTTAGAACAAGATGGCCCATGCACCCCAAGAGTTGGAAGAAGTCTGGCAGATCAGCGGGATGAGAATAACCAATGTGACAATACAAAAATCAGAAAAATCCATGAGAAATGGTGCAAAAGAGAGAAAAGCTGAATTCAGAGAATGTGTATGCATGTGACCACAGTTATTGTTGGCAAAACTGTGTATAAAAGCATGCTGGAATGCACAAGCGTAAGGCCCAGCAGGGGTAATGATTACTTACCGATAAATTGCTGACACATGTATGTTTACCCATCATAGATGAGAGGATTTGTATAAAAAGCGGTTTGCAAACTTTACAGGATGATGTAAATTACGATTTTTACAAGAGCCAGGGCAATAGTGCCTTTCATTATATTATACACACACACACACACACACACACACACACACACACACAGATGAAACACACATTTATATGATACAGAGCTGGATTTTGTCTCTGGTACTACTGAGGCATGGGCCTGCCTGAGCTCAGAGAGCGGCAGATTTGGTCTCTTCAACTGAGCTGAACAAACTTTTATTAAGCACGTATGACATGCAAAGGACTATGCTGGATGATGGGACAGAGATAAAAGGATGAAAAATGGTCCCTGCCTTCAATTTACCATGTGGCAAAGCATCTGAACCCTGGAGGAGGAATAGGCCTCCAAGAGTGAGAGAAGGGCAGGGGGACAGAGCGGGGCATGGAAGGAGACTCGGCAATTCCACCAGGTTAATATCAGCAGAAGCCCAGGCTACACATACGTGAGGAAACATAAGGAATGAAATCAGCTTTGTAAGGCTGAAATGACAAGACCGGAAGGAAGGGGTTACAAGCTCTCCCATGAACAATCCTAGATGGGCTGAGAGCCAGCAGTGGCTGCACCCAATTATACTGAGCACCCCCATAGTCCAGGCCTGGTGGGGCACAGAGGAACATTCTTTATCCTCTAGGAGCAGGTGGCCTGGCAGAAAAGATGGACGTGCAGTAACAGGCAGTCAATGGGCACATGCCATGGTAAACCAGAGGGTCAAAGTAATAAATGTGTTAAGGCCAAATAAGCTGAAAGGCGGCCCCTGGGGTCAGGGAAGATGGGGAACGCTTTCCACAGGACTTAGGACATCAGAGCTTGACCTGGACCTTGAAGCATGAGGGGGAGATGTGGTGGTCCTTCATGGTGAGCAGAGACGATGAGAAGAGGTGGGAAAGCCTGGCATGTATTTGGGTAATGGCAGTGTTATTTGGAAAGGTTAGCAGGAGCTACAGGGGCAGATGAGGAGGGGAGGCTTCAGGTTCCCTGGGGCACTCACAAAGGGTCTGCAAGCAGGTGAACAATAGGAACAGAGCTGTGTCTGGCAGGAATGAGGGGAGGGTACAACAAAGATTAAAGGAAGATCAGTTCAGAAACTCCTGCACAGGGACAAGTGAGAGACTGGGAACCGACCTGGGAGAAGAGAAAGGGAAGAGGGAAAGCAACAGATGGGTGGGTTTGGAGGAGTTTGGTTCTGGAGACACCAGTAGGACGGTGTGGCACAGCTGTCAAGCAGGCAGCTGGAAACGTCGGCCTGGAGTGAAGGCCCTGGGAGTCATCAGCACTGAGGAGGCAGCTGGAGTCAGAGAGGAGAGAGAGAAAATGATTGACAGAATACCTTGGAGACCCCCACATTCAAGTGGCAAAGGAGACAGGAGCAGAGCAGGGCAGGAGAACTAGAAAAGTCTAGTCTAACAGAAGTCAAGGGAAGAGAACATTTCAAGTACGGGGAAGGGGTGCCGTCCATCAGTGTCAAACGCTGCCCAAAGATCAAGAAGTCGAGGCCAGCTAGATCTGGTGATCGGGAGGCTGCTGGCCGTTTATGGGAGCAGTTTTAGTACAAGAGTCATAGATAGCAGGGGCCAGGGTGCAACGGCAGAAGGAATGAGTGAGTGGTCAGGATGTGGGGAATCCAAACCAGGAGGCTCCACCAGTGGGAAGGGAATGCTGAAGTGACTGCAGACAGGGAAGGTGATGCCAGGCCAGGGTTCAAACTCAGTCTGTGACTCCAAGTTCATCCCTCGGAGCCCTGCACCACACACATCCCCTCTGAAGGCTGAATAAATAA